ATAGGGACATTGGTGTGTAAAATTGAAAACCCAGTAACATATGGTATAGGAAATTCAAACGAATTTGTAAAGAATTTCTTTTATTGTTTTCTGTTGTTTTCCACTATAAAATGAAACTCCTTTATATCCACGGTTCATCACTTGGAACAATTACCAGTTTTTACATATATTGCCCAACTATCTAACAAACACCAGAACAACTTTTGGCTTAGAAATGTTCACCGTTGTCTTCATCCGAAACGAATCAATCAACTGTATACCATCACCTCCAATCATTGAGTACTTCAGCATGTACTTCAAATCTAGATCAATGCTAGATTAACCTTGCTGATCAAAATAATAAGTACCTTGCAGTTTTCTTTGAAGTATCTTATTAAAATTTTTTAAAAACTGCAAAAATTACTTAATTTCTTTAGCAATTGTAAAAATCGTTCTTCTTCTTTAACATTCTTATGTATTTGTACTTACAGCTTCTGTTTTTTCAAATCATAACAGAGAAGCATGCACATCATCACAAATAAAACAAAAAAGTTGTGAAGCGACGGTCAATAAAATTTTCAAGTACTAATTATTGTGTGTACAAGTACAATTGTAAATACTACACCTAATATGAATGGACATATGTTTTGTACGTTTTTTAAATTTACAGCAACGCGCGGGCATTATTACTAGTATTATTACTAAGCACAAAAGTATGCATAGACGGAGGTTCATTAACTTCATTTAAAATTGAAGCACACAACAAAGGTATGGACCTCCATAGCAATAGAGCCCAAAACGGAAAAAAAAACAAAACAAACCCCAGCAGCGTGTTTCCTCTGCCGCCGCGGGAGCAACAACCATCCACCACGAACCAGCTTCCCTGCAGACGCCGGAGATCCAACAAGGCAACGCCCCAGAAACGAAAAATCATTTCCTTGTTTGCAATGGGATATCTGGCTCACTATAAAATGATGCCAATCTACTCAATACACTATAATCCCAAATCACAAGCAGAGTGAATCCCATAAATTATTTGGAATTATAGGACTCTTACCATTCCGACAAATTGATGAAACAAAACATTATAACTTACCATTCGGTAATATACACCATATATCTTTCTATATACGAAATTAAGATTGAACTTACTCATACAAAGGAATCATACTAATTTTCTACGAAAATCCGAAATCCGAGAAATTACGTCACTCTAATCATCACTAAGTTCATCTTCAATGGCAGCTGCACTCATCCTTGCCGACGCCTGCCTAGCGCACTTGACAATCTTCTCAGCCTCTCTGCAAATCTTCTCCTCCTCCTTCATCGCCTTCTTCAGCTTCCTCGTCTGCTCTTTCTTCGAAAAACTGCCCAAATCCGATAAAAGCCCATCATCGTCGCTGAAATTCAGACCAGCCGCGAAGTCAATTGCCCCCTTTTCTTTACTCTTTGTGTGAGAAGCCCTCTTTGTCTTCGGGGAACACCACAAGCAACCCGATTTCCTCGGGGGCGAAGGGGAGTCCGTCAACGAATTAGAAGAATCCGGCGGAGAATGAAACGACCGAGATTTCGGTTTGGGCTTAGAACGCTGCTTCTTATCCGGGTTCTGTTTGGATGGCGAGAAAATTGCACTTTCCGGAGAGGAATTGGATGAATTTGAAGGAGATGAGACTGACCCATTTTTCAATTTCCCCTTTGAACCCCTTTTCCCACCTGGGTTGTATTTCGATTTCGCTACTGAAAATTCTGAGGGATCAGATTTGAGATTTGACCCCAATTTCTCATCTGGGTTCTGTTTGGAAGGCGAGAAAATGGCAGCATCAGAAACAAGGTCTGTCTTACCTTCAACCGAATTGCGCCGAGCTGAACCGGTGGTTAACGGTGGCGGGCGGGAGGCGGAGCTCTCGGGGAAGGATTTGAGTTTGCGGAAGCGGGATTCAAGTTCAGTGGGGAGGACAGAGTCGGTGAAGCCGGAGCAGTTGATGGCGGAAACTTGCTCGAGAACGCAGAGGTCTTGGGCTTGGGAGATGAGGTCGTCCACAGCTGATTCGTCGGTATCGGAGAGGTAGAAGGAGAAATCCGCCATTTTCAGATTGAGGCCGAGCTTTCTTGCTTACTGTCAGTCTGTCCCTGCCATAGACGGCTGAGAAAGCCAGGTCTAACGGCTATAAGTCGCGCTTTCCGCATTTGCTGGTTCAACTTTCAACGTGCGGGTCCCACTTCTGATTCAGCTCCAGCCAAAACCTAAGATTATCTTAGTCTCACAATATGTTAGCATTAATATGATTCAAATTCGCGTTTAACGATAATTAAATCTAACATTTGTTTTAATTAAATAGTTAAAACGTATATATATTGTGTTTTTTTAATTATTTTTTATTTATTTTGAACAACTTAAGAGACTATAGAAAATATTCAATTAGCATTTTAAGAGATTTTAATTATTTTTATAAATTTAGAGTTGTTCAATTAGAAATCTAAGTGATTATATAAAAGTCTAGGTTTATTCAATTAGAATTTTAAAAGAAGTTTATAACATTTTGAATGCATTCAATTATAAATTGATTTTGAGGAAAAAAATTTAGAAATTGATTTTAAAGGAGTTTTTAAAAAGTTGGAGAATTCAAGAGAACTAGAGACATTTCATAGTATATTTTAAGGATTCTCACATCTTATCTCTCTCTTGAATTTGAGGGAATTCATTCAAATTTTACATAGAATATCTAGAAATCAATTAAACTCCATCAAAATTCATGAATTTATAAATCTATTAAAATCCCTCAAAATCTCAATTGAATAACCATGTTAAAAACATTATCCCCTACAATTACAAACACATCAAAAATACAATACAGATTTTCAATCATAGAGGATCTTTAGTCCTAAATGCTAAATCCTAGTCATGAGGACTAAACATTTCGAGCCCGAGAGATTTCACACCTTGAACTTTTCTTTGACCTTTCATGGAAATATCTTTTGTACTTACACTATCTTTCTATTTAAGAATATTTTGAATGTCTAAGGCCTGTTCATTAATGTTTTACAAAATAATTTTTAGTTTTGCAGATACAAAAACAGGTGAACAATGCATTTAGCAGATCGTTTTGTGAAAACAAAATCAAAAAATGAAAATGCAAAACGCAATATTTGGCCTAAGTTATGCATAACATTAAATTAATGTTTTCTTTGTTTTTTAAGAACAATTTTCAAAATAATAAAAAATAAAACATACATTATAAAACAAAGTTAAAATTCTATAATAAAATAAAATAAAATTACATATGCGATGCTCACCGTCACTACCACTACCACCACAACATTCTCCACTCCACTACCGGATCCATTAAGGAGCAAAAGGAAGGGGGCGGGGGGTTAGCTGACCCTCTGAACTTAGGTGAATCTGCATGGATGACTTGGTGCTGTCTCCTAGGTGAATCTCTATGGATGACTTGGTGCTGCCTCCTTGAAGGTTGGAGTTGTCCTTCATACATGCATTCCAACATCTTGATAAAATACATCAAAGAGGCATTGCCATTCTTATTAATTTTTTTTATTTTTTAATATCAACTTGGGAGCAATGTCTTTTGTTCCATTGATAATGAAGCTATAATGTGGCATTTTCAAAATAAGAAAACACGTCGGGGACAGTTGTAATTTGTATTGTTATTTATTCCATAAATCATGAATGATGGAACTATGGTTTAACTTTTAAAGTTATTATATGTCTAAGATATGTTGTGAACTTTTACATGTGACCCTTCGACTAACTTTTCTTGGATCCACCACTGCTCTACCCCATCACGCACACCGCTATAGTTTATTTGAAATATGCCTTAAAGCAAATAATGAGATGATACTTTACAACATTTTGCATAGTCAACTATTTTAGTTTAATCTAAGAGAAAAGATATTGTTTAGAGTCATCTCATTAAATATTATAGCCTAAATAACAAGTGCAAGTAATATGTGATTACGAGAATGTAATCTAAAGAAGTTAGATTCATGAAACTTTTCTTTCTCATACACATATCCTATACGTCCTGATTGAAGGATTTCTAATTGGGCATTCATAATCCAGATTGATCAGTACATACTATGTCTTCTAACACACCCCGACCTAAATCAAGGCATGATGGCCATCACGTGATGGTGACGTAGCCATGTGTGCAGTGCGGAAGTGACAGTGATATGAAGATGTGAGAAATCAAAAACCCATTAACTAATGCACACAAGACAAGTAAATAAGTGCGGGAAGAAGTGTTAGAGTGTAGATATACATAGTCAGAGCGTAGGTGCCAACGTGCAATCCAGCAAGCTAAATACTAATTATACAGGGTATGAAAGAAAACCCTACATTGATGGATGCCTGTTAAAACCGCTGTAGAGTCCTCGTGAGTCCCCAACATGCACTTCTATCTAGAACCTGGAAAGGTGCAAAACAAAAAATGTGAGTGGGTAAAAACAAAGCTTTTCAAAACCATTTCTCTTTCCAAAAGTAATAACCCTTCACCATAAAACCTGTATAGTTTCCCAGAAAATAATAATACATACGTATATAAAAATCATGCTCGAGAGTAGTGAAACTCAAATATATGCCATGTCAAGTATCCCAGTATGGAAATAAGTAGCTAGGTGAAATAAATCAATGTAAAATGATATGTCAGCTGGAGTCACCTAACATGACCTGTACGGCTGAACCTATAGCTCATCAGATATGCCTGCACATGAGTTGAAACCACCTATTGTGGTTTGTACGACAGGGCTGGGTGCAAATAAGTACGCTTAAGTGCTACGATCACGTGAAGGCTGTGCAAATAATCGCGGGTCACCTACGAGTCACAACCACCTAATGTGGTTTGTATAACAGGGCTGTGCACCAAACTTGGATCCAAGGTGAGCGTGAGGTGCGTGAGGTGAACATCACGTGAAGGACTGTGCCTTGGCCATGGGCGGAAGCACTAACGCCGGGGTGCAGGATAATGAGCTCTAAATGCATCTACGTATAACTACAAACAATGCATCCACTATCATGAATATATACTCACATGAAGCTTGCTTGGGCATCCGCAGCATCAAGAAACAATATGCATATCTATACTAATGCATACTCTAAAGCATAATGCAATTGACATGGCATTTAAAATGTAATTTCATTTAAAACAAATTTCTGGGAAAACGCAAAACATATATACGTATATATAGAAAATGAAAAGCCCACTCACTGGTATGTAGCTGGATCGTAGCCCCCGAGTCTCGCCTGACTGTGCTCATCCTCCGAAAACGTCTCACTTATATGTGAAATCATTATTTTAACATTAATTTTAAGTACATAACCAAAACCATGTAATAACTTCTCATACGTTACTCAATTGGGATGTTTGAATATACCATCGTGGCCTACTCCACACCACGAGCATCTCCATATTTTTAGAATAATTTTTCGACGTCCCACGTGCCCCCATGTGCCTGGCACACGAACGAAATTTTAAATGCCGTTAGGGAATATTCCGCTAAATAATAGAATATTCCGTTAACTTCACTTGACGCCGTTAGTATATGCTGTCAAAGTTGATGGAATATTCCCCTTCCTTCTCCGGTGGTTCGTCGAATTCCTACGCCGATCGACTCTGTGTCGTCGGAAACTGAAAAAATTTCAAATTTAAATATCTCACTCAAATCTCAACCAAACTTCACAAACTTTACATGGATTTGAAGCCCTAAACGAGTAGAACATGTTCTTACCACTTTGAAGTCCTAAAATCGACAGGAACTAGTCGGAAAATCCTTCGATATTCCGATCAAAACTGCAACTTGAGAAATTGACCTATCCTGACGTCTAGAACCTTCCAAAACTTCTCTATGATATATGTGAAGTTGCTTTAAGACTCCCTTAAGCCCTAAAACTCCGTGAAACGTCTATGATCACGATGGAGTAGCAGAGAACCTCACCGGAGCTAGCGAGTTCCCTAGTTTCCAAGGTTCTTTCACTAAACTAAGGGTATGATTAGGTTCCTGACCTTGCAAGGAACTTGAAAATGACCTCTCCTAGTTCGATCTGTGCAAGTTGAAGATGGTTAGGTGTGTGTGTGTACGGACTATACGGACAAAGGAAAGATTAAGAGAAAGGATCAGGGTATGTACGTGTGTGTGAGTGTGTGTGTGTGGTTCGGATTGGGCATAAATAAAAGGGATCTTAAGCCCTAATTGGGCTGCATGTTTAGGGCTAACAATTGACCCCAAAACAAACCTAAAATTCTAATTGGACCCAAGAAAGTAGGAGGTTGGTGATTGGTCCATTTCCTTAGCCCAATTACATAATCGTTTAATCGTAATATTTTCGTTACGAACCCAACTCGGCCCTAAATCACGTCAACACTCTAGTGACATTGAGTATCATTTAATAGCGTCAACGGGACAAATAATTTAAACCATATACGTACATTCGCATCACTACGACTCGAGGGTGTAATCGTCATTTTCACACATTCAAGGATAAAATATATATTAATTCAAGACGGGTCGTCACATCTTCTGCCTAGAGAGTGACTGGACTTGAGTCATTTATGTCAAAAACTAAGGCAAGTATGTAGGTGTTCAATTGAGAGTGAGTCCACTGAGCGTGATAAACTAGGAGTTCTTATACTCATGTCATATGAGAACTCACTAGTTGGGATAATACAAAATAGTCCTTTGACCTACAACACCATATTTGACTTGTGGCTAGGTCCTTAATCTTTGACTATAAGGACACTATGATGTGTGAGGGTGTCCGCGGCATCATTGTAGTTAGGCAATCTAATCATGGAGGAATGTGAATGTACAACAAGGGATCTCTAACCTTCAAATTATTGAGGTAAAATACTCTCTGTGTCACTTGTTGATCGTGAGATACATCCAGGATCGACACATGACGTCATAACATACATGTACATCTGTCATGCCTCTCTTTCAAAACATGACCAAAACAATCCAAATGGTTGAACAGTGTAGTAATTTTTTTCTTTTATTTCAAGGTTGCATTTAACCTCTATGTTAGATTGCCTTCGTACCCAAAATGGGATCAAGCCATTCGTAGTTCACATTTCTTTTAAGCTCTAAAAGTTCTCAAGCATTAACTAGAAAGAACATAGAGTTCTAGAACCACTCAATGGAACTCAACGAGCATGC